TCAAAGAACAGCAAAAACGATTTGGGCGGTTTCCGTGAAAAATAAAAATACAAAATCGTGACTTCATGTCTTTGATACGCATCACGTCCTTCGCAGCACCGTGATAATCTCTTGCTAAAGATTTCATGAAGTCCATCCTGCTGAAGTAAGATGCCGTGAAAGTTTGGAAGCAGAAAAGACCAAAGAGACAAAGAAAAACATCAGCGCAGAGGAAAAAAGGGAATCCTACTTGAGAAAAACAAAAAAGATGTCGATTTCTGAGCTCAAGCATTGCGATCCCCAGTAGATAAGACCTACTTGGACCAAACAAAAAAACCGCCGTTTCCACTTTTTTCCATGCCATCCGTCCAAGACAGTAACAATAGCCGCAGTATTTGAGGTTCGGTGGTTTCTCTACTCGAATCGCAATACGAATCTTCAAGTGCTGATCGGGGCTGTTCTTCGGCACGGTCATCGTGTACCATTCCGGCGATCGTGAGCAGTTGGGCGTTGGTTGGATGATCACCTTGAATTAAAAGTACTTGCGAGAATTTTTCGAGAATTCCATACAATTACATACTCTTTTTAACGACATCATTTATTTCAAGGCGGGGCCGTCTGTTTTACTTCGCAATTTAATCTGCATTTGTGGCCATGTAGTGAAGTTTTCGCAAGTTTACAATGCGAAAACGTCTGATAAGCGCAATGAAACAATCTTCCTATTATTGTGGCTCTGCCCGTCAAGGAGAGATGGGCGCGAGGTTCTCATTGCATCCAGCACACACTCAATGCTCTATTCACACCATCCTTACAAATGTGTTAGTGTCTGCGTCTCACTCGGTCCCTGTGCTCTTTCGTCCCCATGTATTCTCTCATCACCGCGCACAGTGTCACATAATAGTGTGTCGCATAGAAGAACTGATGCACTTGTTTGGAGTGAATTGGTGTTATTCCTTCCCTTCTCACTAGCCAGAGAGTCAATTTGCGCTAACCGCTTCATAGCTGAACCCACTCATCTCGATTCTGTAACGCGAGATGTGCCTTTGAATCTGCAGAGCTTTTCAAGCACCTAATCCTTGATTAGTTTTACTCTATCCTTGTATCCTTGTTCGATCCACAAACACTCGACAGAGGTGTCGTGACCGAC